AAAAAACATACAATTTCTCACGTTTTTCTACTGACAAATATCACAAAAGATTGTCAAAACCATGAGGGAAATAACTTTAAGTATATGCCAAATAGCATGAACATAATACTAGTTTCCCATAATGCTTGAAAGAGAAAAGTATTCCAGATTTGCCTGGGACATGTTCTGTCAAGGCACACGTCAAGTATCATACTTCAGTGGCATGGGCACAAGAGCAAAACACGAGCGATGCCTAAAAGTGTTTTACGACGTGTGTACACAGTAACGAAGACATTTTTAAACCCCTTTCACCAATAATATTTACAAAAAGCAAATACGTCACACCACTATTTAATTTTATTTCAACATAATCCTACAATGATGTAAAATTCGCCCTTTGGAGAACACAAATTGAGTTATTCTATACTAGAGTCCTTTTAACTTTTACCCGCGCTTTCTGTAAGTAAACTCGACCATGGCCAAATTGAACCCAAAATGAACTGAACAAAAGAGAAAAAATACTTCACTGTTGGTTTAGGAATAATGGCCTTACAGTAAAAATATTTATAGTACAGAGATTAGTTCAATATATTTGGTGTTAATTGTGTGTACCATAGACAAAGTTTACTGACAAAGTTTACTGAAATTGACCACCGAGTCAACAGGTCAATATAGGAATGTACTCCAAAACTCCTTTCTTCTATTCTATCACATACAAGTACCTATAAACACGATCTAAACATATTCATTAAACAATCAAAAGCACAAGACAATACCTGACCATATGACCTTTTTCTGACTAGATGACCCTTTCAATGTATCTAATTTTCCTTTTTGACGATACTTTCAACATATGAATAGCTTAAAATGCTTGCTGTCAAGTTTCACTTCACTCTGAATTCTAAAATGATGTAACTTAGCTACATTGTCTAGTTGAATGAATTAATTTTTTGAAATAATGTCAAAATAAGGAACTTTAAGTTTGTGAAGGTAAAGGGTATAATTGCACTATTTTACTGAACATGATTTCTTCACTTTTGAGTGCAAAACTCTTGAAGTAGTGAGGAATCCTATTACAAGACAATCAAACCTCTTTCTAAAGGATTGAAACCAATCAAATAGCGAACTTTTGATGATTTTATAGCCTAATATAACTCTTCAGGTTTTTATACCTTTCCCCTAGGCTGATGGTAGTCTTGAGTGAATATTTCAAAGAAACCCATTTAAACTTTTGTAAACAGTTTTGAAATGAACACCATCCCGAATGGTATTTTCATGTTTAATGGATATTGTTAGATTTACCACATAGATATCCCAAGGCCCAGGCTAGGATTTATCAATAAGGTTGACAATGTCTGGTGTTGGTCATCATGACAGTATCTAAAATACTTTATTTAAGATACCAATGAAGAATTCAATGAAATCAGATAGACTCACTCATAGCATGGGGTAAAATTGATTATCATTATCGGATTCATTTCTAGTTTCTTATAATGACATTTCTACATTCTAACTTTGACATTTCCGAATGAACCCCTATCAGTGAATGCATTGAGATATCTCATAGAATTCATTGCTCATGTGTGGTAAAAGATACCAATAATATTGGCAATCATTTCAATCAGTGAAGCCCCAAAGACACCAGAATCAATCAGCATCAATGATCTTCATTGACATTCTGCAGCCTAAACCACTCTTTTACCCACTGAATAGAACATGATTGAAGTAGCTGCAATCCCGTAAAATAACCTAACTTGATTTATCATCACATATCAAATATCCATTCTGGTTGAAATGATACATAACTATAATTTCTATGTATTTTCCTATTTTATAGCTTTCAAAGTACATGTAAATAGAGCTAAACTATGTATATATTCTCTTTATTTCCTTAGAATTCCATTTAATTTCATGAATGGTATACATTTAGGGGAAGTTGAACAAGAATATAAACCAAAAACCTCTAGAGAATCTAAGCTATTATCTCTGTATATTTGAAGTGTAATGTGTCACAGTTGTAATTTCATTACAGCACCATTCAAGTGATCTGTGGTGTCTCACTGGAACTAAGATGCCATAAACATTTCAAAATCTACAAGGAATTTCCAGCAAAAGTGCTTCCTTTAATCTTAACATGTTTGCTGGTTAAAATTATCATTGTGACATCATGAGACCTCTGAGGCAGGCTCTTTTAAAAATAGGCATCATTTTCAAAATTGGGCCTTACTTGCAAAAACAGGCCTATTTCGATTTTGAAAATGTTAGGCTACCCAAAATTGACTTTCTTGTCAGATTCCAGGTATGGTTAGTTGCCAGAAAGCATATGTGATGGAGAATGGCTGTAACCTTAGAAGTATATGTATCTGAACATTGTGTTGTTTCTCAAAGAATACAAGGGAAAGATGAACTATAATGGGGTATCAGTTACACAAGATGCCTGGATGGAGACCCTTGTACCATTACCAACAGTTATCCCATATATAGAAACTCACACCAAATATGGTATAAAATATAAGAATAAAATGAAAATTACTAAAGAATAAAGATAAAGAAAACAAGCTAGAATCCATACTACAATTTATGAAAGAATCTTAAAAGAATGGATCTGTCATTCGTGCTTTCAAGAAAACATCAAAAATGGCTGAAACCAAATGGAAATTTTAAAATAAGGAGTTACCTTGGACTTTACCATTGAGTGATAGAAACCAAATGTAACCAACATGTTATGATAAAACCCCATGCTCTATCAAAAAAGTGATTGAACTACTGGTCATGAGATGTGATAAATAGGTCAAAAACCATCAATCTCTGTAGATGACTGTAGATAGACTGGTGTGAGAAAGACATGTTTGTTAAACCAGGGGCAAGTGGAGAGTTGTACACTGTCAAAACGCATAATGAGAACACATTAATCAGCTGAAGATCAAAGAATTTTCATAAACTGAACAAAAGTCTCAAAAAGTTTGACTTTCACATCGGGTCATAAGTAAACGTCTCACTTAGAAAAACTGCATGAGCAAAGCCTAGAAGTTACTCACCATATAATCAAGGGGTTTCATCCACTTGAAAGTGAGGATGAAATTATTGAAAATCAGTTGTGTGTTTTTGCTTTTAACTATTTGATTTATAAATGCTTTTGTCAATGTTGGTAAAGTATGTACAGTATACAGGAAGTTTGAAGATGTTTTTAACTTGAGGAAGATGACTGAATGATTGACAATGAACCCCACTCCCTTTTATCACCCTAGCTTCTTATTGCAATCAGGGACTTACATTTCCATAGCAACGTGATGTAACAGAACAGGGCTTGAGGGTGTCACTCAAGTTAAACAGTGTCATATAATCCTAATTCAAGCTTACATGACACATCCAGGTTTTAACAAAGATTGATGACTGATGACAAAATTCACCAAATCGAAGCACTAGATACACTAACAAGCAATCGTGAGTTTTACAACAAGCACATAGACTAATACTTTAATCTCCAAACATGCCTTTATTGGAGCCCCTAACTTCTTTCATTCAGCGCAAATTGAATTACAACTCTGACGACTTGGTTAATATTTTTCGTGCATCCCTTTGTCAACTATCAGGACTTAGTTTTGCATATAAAAAAGTTTTAATTGAACATTTCATGCTTGTTTGAAACTACATTTTGACTTTGAAAAAGCTTTTGACACCTTTTGATCACTGAGTCATAGTGTGTCATCCTTTTAATTAAATGTAAGCAAAAAAGCTGCCTTACTTGGACCTGTTTTTAAGTTGGTTTCAAAGGCAAGTTATTCCTGTTACAAACTTTAAATAGAGAATTCTCTGGGAATGTTAACAATCCTTTGTTGCTAGTCTCTTCAAGTGGTATATGACTGAATGAAGATGTTATACTTTTTTGATTTCTTTCATGTATTTTAAATATACAGTATTTATAATTTTAATTTTGATTCTAAAAGAAAGAGGTACAAAACTGATCGATCAATTGGGAATTTGTTCATTCTATCATTAGCTCAAGGTTTTTGTCAACAAATATTTTTTCATACGAACAAAAGGCTCTTTATTTAATGGAATTGCTAAAAATCAACAAGTATTTTATTCCTAAATTATTGAAAGGTGCTGAATTATACTGAAGAGTAAGACAAATATTTGTGTTAAATTAAAAATCATAAAGGATTTGTAAACAGGGCAATACAAACTCATTCTGATACTCATAGCTTATTTCTGTTTCACCTGAAACATGCTCTGATATTATGAGGCATATTCTGTGATCTGAGCACATTAGATGGGAAGAGTTATAACTGTCAATAAGTATGATAGTTATCATGTAATCACTCACCTAATGTCAATACATTACATAATGGGCATTGTATTTAACAGCAGATATTAGCACAGACATGTGTACATAAGTTTAATGACCCCAATTAAATGAAATATGAGCTTGGATGAAAGATCTCAAAAATCCTCAATTTTGGGCTCTCCTGGATCGCCAAATCAAGCTCATTATATCATGGCATCTCAGGGCTGAGAAGAAATGAGATGTCATGGATTATCATGATGATACAAACTGAACTATTCTAAAAAAACTTCTTCATAAGCAATTTGAACAATAATTTGCAAAGCACAATGTCCAGTGAAAAACAGATGTTTATGAAACTTTTGAATTAAATAAAAAATATCAAATTAAACAATCGAAAATCTCATATCACTTTTGTACATCTACATTACCTGGATTTAGGTACAAATCCTGATAAGAAATGCTAGTAGGCTGATTTTCTACCAAAGTTAATGTATGGTGGATAATAGTAAAATCAAGCTACTTTTGCACAATTCTTAAAAACTTACATGTGGATTTGATGATTGCTATCATGCAGGTTTTCCCATTAAGACAATTAGTGAATCCAATTAACAAATTGGTTTGAAATAAGTATACTGATTGCTTAATATAACCAAACATTAATATTCATGTTTTGATTACAGAATATGTTTATAATACAGAGTTCTATTTCTAAAAAGAATGAAATTTTACTCACCTATTAGTTCATCATAACTAAGATGGTTAAACCGTCGTTCTAAATCATAGTTTATAAATGCTTTTCCTAATGTTATAGACTCATGATCGTCAGTGTCTGCTTCTATATAAAGTACTATTTTTCCTCCAACTGAGTCGAAACAAAGTTCTCGTTCTGTTTCAGGATGGGTAATATTTAGAATTGCTAGTTTATTTAAGTTATATTTTCCCTCTTGCGAGATTTTTATTGTTGTAAATTCTATTCGTGTTGTGATGCAGCCTCGAAAGTCAGTTTGGGCATCACCGCCATATTGTAATACTAAACGTAGAGCACCGTACGGGGAAAGCCATGTTACCTCTCCTTCAGAACATGTCCCGAATACATTCCTTATGCCTTTTTCTTCTGTATCATCCCTAAAAATACATAAAACAGAATATTTATCAGCTGAAGTATACTAAGAAAACATGGCTCAAAAATGTAACACTTATGTCAGGGACATTTGGTAAGTTACACCATGGTACATCCCAGAAATAGAAATAGGAAATATCAATTATAGAAACTGATCTAGCTTTAGAAACATTGTGACTTTTTCAGGAATAATCAAAGGCAGTTGCAAAGCATTCTGATACTCATAGCATCTTTCTGTTTCGCATGAAAGGGCTGAGAAGAAATGAGATGTCATGGTGTATCATGATGGTTGCAAAGGCATTATTCTGATTTTGATCTTCAGTTAGAATTCTGATCAACCAGAGTATGTTTTGATATAAATTGCAGGGTTTGTGCCTTGTTATTTTAATCAGTTTTATAATACATCATTAATCTTACATCAGAGACAAGATAATTATGACTATCAAAATTGAGTAATATGAAACCCCATGGGAAATGCAAACATTCTATTCGTTGAAAAAGACTTAAATTGAATTAGGAATAGTAATTTAGATGTTTTAGAGAAATACCATCCAACAATGTAGTCTGACATCAAGTTCCCTCCCGCATCTACTTTTGATATATGTGAATTAAAGGTATACAGAGGAGTTACAAGAGCTTGAGGCATGACTACCTCAAGTGGTTTGGTGCAAGACTATAAACTGAAAGAGGCAATGTTCCCTGTGTCTGGAGTGTGTTGACAGGTAGAAGTGGTCGTGTGTAGACTGGGGCCACCACACTCTAATAGCCTTTCAGCTACAAACATAAATGCTAAACAGTGCCATAAATATACAGACACCAACAATTGCTCTCTGCTTTAAACTTGTCAGGTGGGTGTTTGCCGATTGAAACAGACTGCATTAGAATAAATCAACAAATCCCGATCCCACACACTCTTTGCAAAGTATGATATGGGCATTTTGGACTATTCTGCATATGATTATAAATTATAAGCTGAGAAAGGCCAGGTAAAATATGCCAGGTAACATGTTCCATGATAGACTCATATTTGGCACATAGAAGCCTATGGGTCTGGATTTAAGATTTTTTATCATCAAAGAACCATGCTTGAATCTGTAACTTATCTCTTTCCAAGGATGAGTGACATATAAATATTTGGGAAACAGCACTAAACTACAAATGTTTATGCATCCAAGTGCTAAACATTTGGACTATGAAGATAAACTTCAAATAAGTAAGTTCCTCAAATAACTAATTGTTACTGTGGTTTTACAACTTGGTTTGATGTTATGCCACAAATATTCAATAAAACATTTCATATTGATGATACACTTAATGAATGAACACAATCCATAATCTCCTGCATTATATATTATTATCATAATATAAAAATAGGACAAAAACGCACATTAATGTCGACCTCCATTTTCCAGAGCTGCTTAGCTTGGATAATGTGTTCCCTATGAAATATCTGGAAGGTCTTGTATGGGTTTTGTCAGGAAAGGCATATCTACTATGGACATGTCAAAAGCAATATGAAATCTCAGAGAGAAGAGATTAAGCCTAAAACACCCACCCATATCTCCCTTGTTTTGAATTGTCTAATAAATCTCACTTTCAATTTAAAGATAAGAACCCTTGATGTATGTCTTCGTGGTCAAATTTTAATATAAAACATTAAAGCAAAAGAGTAGAGTAAATAAGAAATTGAGAATGTTAAATGGTATGTAATTCTCAGAATTTATATACTGTATTTATCCATCTGAAATATAATAAACTGTATAATATTCAAACATGGGTAAATCTCTTCTCCTCTGAGACACTCAGATAATTCATTCACAATTATCAGGGTCTGGATCATCTCTAGATGTCAAGCCTAGTTAAGAAAAACTTTAAAATTTCATCATATTTCTTTGCTTACATGCTATTGGTGCAGCCAGTTATAGCATTATCAGATAATGTTAATCTAGGGACATTATTTGGACCTGTAATCAGGGTCATGTCTCCAAAGTACAAGTCTGAATATCAGATCTGCTTAATGTGACCACATTTGAGCTGAGAAAAAACTATAGAAGCTCAGATTGTTCTCGCATAAACCAGTCTCTGATCACAAAATTGTTAAGTTTGCCTAAATGGCATCAATCATCAATCTTATATCTATGTAATCAAATGAAATTAGGTGAGAAATCAAAAATTAGCAAACCATCTCAAAAAATCAACCTGTAGATCAGAAAATTATTTTTTGATTGGATAATTCACCTAACTTGATCTAAGAAAATAGAAGATTAGTATGTTCCCATGTGATGTGGATTTGTAATCACAAAAGATATCATCTTTCCATCATTTTTACATCTTTCATCATTTTGTGATCACAAAATATAAATCTTGTGAGAAATCAAAAATTAGCGAACCATCAAATCATCAGATAAAATGAATTTTGAATGGATGGAAGATTCAGGAGAGCAAATGTTATACGAGAAAACCAAAACCATATGAAAGGTCAATATACTCTCATGTGAGAGTAGATTTAATTGTGATCACAAAAAATAGATCATGATGAGAAATCGGAAAACAATCAAACTATCAAATCAACTGATGAAATAATTATTTGGATGGATGAAAAATGTGTGACCAAAGTTGAGCTGAGAAAAAATGGAAGGTCAGTCCATTATCAGGACACTGGATTTGTGATCACAAAAATATTATCTAAACGCCATTATTTTTAAAGTCAGTTATCAAAATCAGACCTTTGTTAAAAAAACAAAATCATGGCAAGAACCCAAAAACTGGTGAACCGTCAAATACCAGATCCCAGATCGGATGTTTTATTGAACGGTTGAATGTGATAACTGGTATCTAAAATAAAACAAATAAATCCAATGAGGTGAACTGAAAGTTTATTATGATCAAAAATAAATGCTATTGAATGACACTTGAATAGCTGATAACTTTATAATGGATGTTTAATCACTGAAGATGGCTCCAAGAAGTGTGTTGTCTATGTCTAGAACATGCTTTATCTCCATTTGAATGCTAGGGCATACCAGTACCAAATCTATACACTGATTATAGAAGGTATTTATTACAATCTGACAATAGGATATGGCCAATATTCTGGCGTCAATTTAACTTATGATAATGGCCAAAACCTGGATCTGACTCATAGACCAGGATTATGTAAAATAAATGTCTAGATTATTTGAGTTTGTTATTGTTGTGCCATTATGCCAAGGGATTGAGCAGCTCTACATTCCTCTGTGTTAAGTTCTTCATTCAAGAAAGCTTGCTCAACATAGCATACAACCATATAACTTCATCTGATCTGATATCTGATACAATAGTTCATAATTTTGATGACCACAAGGCTCCCTATATATATATATATCTTTTATTGACTCTTTAGATGTCATGACCTGACATATTAGTCATTACAAAATGAAATTTCACAAAACTACACTACACTACACTAATATATACAATTTATACAAAAAACTTGTTATTTACATATACAGTAAAACCTGCGAACAGGGAATGCTCTTGGGACTGGAGGAAAGTTTCCTTGTTCAGAGGTTTTCCCTATAGAGAGGGGCTGCACTTTCAGCAAACTCAAAATTGCCGAATAAGCATATTTGTATATATATTGATTGATTGTACAAATGCCGACTCCATACTTGTTTACGTTCTCCCCATGTTGATTTTAGCTGCTTCTAGCGTCTGATGATGTCTAGTTGATCAAAGATCATTGATATGATGTGTACATATATATTGCTAAGAACTGAAATTCAAGTTTCATCAACCCCATTTTATATCATTTATAATCTGGAAGTTGGATCAGTAAAAGATTTAAAGAGCTTTGGCTCAACATGACCATGTACTTACTATCTGTTATCTCCATAAAACAATTGTGTCAGTCCCTAGATTATCACAACTGATTTGATGTAAGTAGGTTTTTGAAAGGAAAAATTGGTGTCATGATAATAAGTAACAAACAGATTAGTATTAGTTTTAAAATAAATCAAGGTAATTAACTGTGGGTGGGATGCTACATCATGTCAACAATTGGCTTATCTTAATCTCAGTCATATTAATCCAAGCTTTTTGGAATCAGATATTGGCTTAGACTTTCACACCTCTGAAAAATAATGGAATACACAGTGTCACCAATATTCCATATTCCTTGTTCACAGGTGAATTTTCATATATTGCCCCAAAATAGTGTTCCTTGTTCCCTGTTCATAGGTTTTCCCTACAGAGAGGGTCCGTTAACATGTAAGTCAATGGAAAAATATTTGGTTCTTTTGAAAAGCATTCCTTGTTCACAGGTTTTCCCTACAGAGAGGTATTCCATCGGACAGGTTTTACTGTATGTTATAATATACTTTAGGTGTGATGCATCCAAAATGTTAATCTCCAGGCAAGTTTAAGTTTTTGAATGATTTTGTAATAAAACTTCCAACTTGCTTTTGCACATATTTATCTTTTGAAGATATTAACATAATGAATGTATTTTCAGGATCATGTTGATCAACATTAATTTTGCTAGTGATGTTGTCAAACAATATTTTTCTATTTTCTCTATGTAAATGGCATTTAATCATGAAATGAACCTCATTTTCTATTTCCCCACAAAAGTTACATAATCTTTCATATTCAGGTTTTGGCCGTGGTTTTACATGTCTACCCAGTTCTATTTGTAATTTATGTGAACTTAATCTCAGTTGTGAAATTGATTGCCTGTGATTTTTGTTTTGAAGGCTTAAATATTGTTCTCTTTCAAAAGTTGTTTTGAATTTAATGTATGTTCTTAAAACTGGGTATAATTGTAAATCACACTTCCATTTCTCCTTATAATTTTGGTACAATATTTTAGTTAGGTTCTTTTTAAATACATAGTCATCCTCAACAACTTGTTCATTCCAAGTGCTTTGGAGATTACAATCTTTTAAAATATTATGAACCTTACTTGACCAAGTATTTTTAAATCCTAAACTGTACATTTCATAATCATATAGATATGCTTTATAAA